TGGTAAGTCAAATGAGTAACTTAAATATTCATGACTGATAAAAAATTATTTATTTTAAAACTTATTTACTTTGAACTTTTTTAAGCTTTAGTCAAACGTTATCTTTGGGATGTTCCAATGTGATACAACCTTTTGCTTTCAGTTGAATTTGTTTGTTTTTTGATTGGTAAATGTAAAATTTCACAGCTTTGATTTTGTATGTGTGCAAATAGGAGGATTGGAGCTGGATCTGGAGATCTGCTAGCTGCATGCTCTATCGTCAAGAAGCAATGGAAAGGAAAGTTCACTTCAATTTCAGGCTTCAGGAAAGCTGCTATCGAGCATCAAAAGTACGTAAAAGGTACCACAATGTATCCTTTGGAACACAATCCAGGACACGGCCTACTATGCATTGTGCCGTGAAATGGAAGCTGATTTTCTAGTCACATACCGCAAGTTGCTTGAAAATTTTTGATACATTGAGAATCACTAATTTTTTCTGGAGCATCTAACACGAACCCTCGATACAATTTTGTAAATTTCAATCTGGCAGCAAATAGGATGACATGAAATAAATGGGATTTTTTATTTTTTATTTTTAACCTTTTCATTCTTGCATTCTATAAACCTTTAGCTGATCTGAATAGCGATAAAACATACTTTTGTTTTGTTCTTTTTTTCCTTGGATTTCCTTGCTCATTTTCCATTCTTGAGTTACTTTGGGGCTATATTGGTGATTTTGAGGGGGCAATAGGAAAAATAAATAAATAAATTTACAAAAATAGCTCAATTGTTCTTCTTTATCTTACACCCTTTGCCGTCCCAACCCACCACCGCAAAGCACACGTGTCCTTCCCGCACTCCCAACACCTTCTTCAAGAGCAAGAATCCCACTATCACTTTGCCACTCATGAGTCACGACTATATCCTTTCACTCATGATTTTGCTTCTCTCTCTCTATATATGTATATGTATATGTACATGCATACATAGATAGCCAGCCTACAAAATACATTCGTAGAAAGAAAAAGGGGGCTTCAAGATTACCGTTACCGGCATAAAGAAAAATGGGGACCGGCTGCAGCGGCGAAGAAGTAGTAGAGGCAGAGGAGAATGTAGGAACCCTTAAACGAACGCGGCGGCCCAGCGTGAGATTACACCAGCCCTACGACGAGAAACCGGGAAATTGTCTGTCCCGCAAGCAACGGGTGCCCATCAAGAAAAATGTAGGACTGAAAAAAAGGCGACCGGTAAAAACTACACTTAGTAAAACTAGAAAGAATAGCGTTGTGGGTTGCTTTAGTGATGAAAAAGAAAAAGAGATGATGGGTTTTGATGATGACAATGTGGTGATTGGGACTTGGAGGAATTTGAAATCGAAAGCTAGAAGAAAGAGTATCAGGCCCCCGATTTCTAATAAATGGGTTTCTGTGAAATCTCATGAAAATGAAGCTAAAGAAAATGAAAATTTTCAATTATCTAGCAGTGGCGAAAGCGAAAATGAACAAGGGAATAAGGAAGAAAAGAATTTGGGCAGCCATGATGAGATTCCCAGGAATTTCGAGCATGAAAATTCAAACCTGCCTAAGCCGTTCGACTTGATTTATGATAATGGAAATAACAGAGTAAGCAGTGATTGTGATCATATGGATGTTGAGGAGAGGAGGAAGCTGAGAGTGGGTCGGGATTCAAATGAAATGGATGGAACGGTGGGGTGAGGAGAAACAGATAGGGATAGAGATGGAGTGAGGATTTGGTTGAATCAATTGGGATTAGGGAAGTATGCAATGCTATTTGAGGTTCATGAAGTGGATGATGAGATTTGCCATTATTGACTCTGGAGGATCTCAAGGATATGGGGATAATTGCAGTTGGTTTGCGGAGAAAAATGTATAGTTCCATTCAAAAGTTTGGTAAAGGTGTTGGTTGATGGATTTAATCATCACAATAGTAAATTAATTTTCCTTTGAAGATTAAAACCATATGAATAAAAAGATCTTAATAACTTTGAGATCATTGGATTATAAAAATCATCACACATAGAAAGGGGAGATGATAAACTTTTGAAAGAGCTCTTAATGGCCTAACCAATTGCTTCCTCTCTTAGATTTTCTCCCTTATTCTCCACTAGGCGTATTTCCTTTTCAAGAAAATGAAAAGTGGCTAACCCTAATTCTGATATGAAAATATGCCAATAAAGTACATATTAATAATGCCTTATTAGGGTTTGAAAATTGCACAAATTTCATTGGACTTTATTATAGTAGGCTAATTAAGTCACATACATTTTATTGGAGCCAAGAGAGGGATCTAACCGGACTCACATAACCCAAGCTCCAATAGATGTTCCAATTGGATCAACTCTTGAACAATTGAGTCCCGATTTATTCTATCAAAAAATCAAGATTGCACTCTCGAGTCGAGTGATAGTTATAGAAGCAAATTATGATCTAATAACAATATCTTCTGATTATCGTTCCACAAGTCAACCTCCATTTGATCGTCAATATGTTGAAACTGGCAAAATGATCGTTTTTGTCCTTCAACATGTATTATCCTCTAAGTATCATTTTCATACGGCGAATTCGTTGTTATCAAATCACAATGTAAAAGTCCAACAATCTCATCGTCGACCTATTGAGCTCAGGTTCAATTTGCCTAGGAAAATACCTTAGAGTGATGATCGTCTCATCTCAATTATTAATGGATTCGACTATTGTAAGTATATGATCTCTAATTGTTTCGACCCAATTCTCAAAGTATCGAGATCGATCTTCTATTTAAGATTTCACTCATTGCTACCTCAAAAAACTTGAACTAGCAATCAAAGGTACATTGCTCACTCATGATTTAGGTGACCTGTTTGATAATCAAGTAAAGTCTCATTTCGAACGGTTACAAATGAGTTATCTACGTGGTCTCTTTCAATGTGCATCAAAAAACATTATTGTTCCTATTTCAAGATCTAGACAAATTTTAATAAAAACAATACAATCTTATCAACATAAAGCGTCCAACTTTATGTACTGATTGTGAACGACATAATTTTGATCACATCACGAATTGTATCTTACTATACCCAATCCATCGAGTATACAATTTGTGACATCCTATATGATCATAGAACCTTAGATAATCACTTTTTGTAACACGCAAATAGACGAACGTCAATTCATAATATAATACACGTTGAAGGGCAAAAAGATCATTTTGCCAGTTTCAACATATTGAAGGTCAAATGGGGGTTGACTTGTGGAACGATAATCAGAGGATATTGTTATTGGATCATAATTTGCTTCTATAACTATCACTTGATTCGATAATGCAATCTTGATTTTTTGGTAGAATAAATCAAGATTAATAGATGTATCTCAATTGGTCAAGAGTTGACCCAATTGGAAACATCTATTGGAACTTGGGTTATGTGAATCCGGTTAGGTCCTTCTCTTGGCTCTAATAAAAGGTGTGTGACTTAATTGGTCTACTGCAATAAAGTCCAAAGAAATTTGTGCAATTTCCAAACCTTAATAGGACATTATTAATATGCACTTTATTGACATATTTTCTTATGAGCATTAGAGTTAGGCACTTTTCACTTTCTTAAAAAAGAAATACACCTAGTGAAGAACAAGGAAGAAGATTTAAGGGAGGAAGCAATTGACTAGACCATTAAAAACTCTTTCAAAAGGTTATTATCTCCCCTTTCTATGTGTAAGGATTTTTATAATCTAATGATCTCAAGGTTACTAAGATCCTTTTATTCATATGGTTTTACTCTTCAAAGAAAAATTAATTTCCTATTGTGATGATTAAATCCATTAACCAATAAATGGTATCAGAGCTAACAAAAGGGTTTTTGTGAATTTTGTTTATGGATTGGCACTTACAAGGTATCTTCGGAGGATACTTGGGAGAGTATGTGGACTTCAAATTGTGCTGAGAAAGGAGGATGAGCAAGTTTTGATAGAAACCGAGCTTCAGTTTTTGTTGGGTAATTGTCTTCAACTTTAGCATACCTAGTAGTTTTGTTAGTAAGGTGCTTTTTTTGTTTGATGGATCGATCATTTTGAATGTTATTTGGTTTACGAATGCTGTAGCTTTTTGCGACATTTATATGCTTTAGTTGGGGTTGTGAATGGTGATAATCCTTTTGATGCTGCAGTTTTCGTTAGATGATATGTTGATAACATTGTTTTTCTTCTGTCCTGCTGTAGTTAAAATAGCCATTCTTTGCTTTTGTTTTTGTGTTGGAGTAATTAGTCACTTTTTGTGCAACTTCGTGGGAAGTTTCTCTCGGGGTCTTTTGGGCCATTTGGCTTGATTTCTGCTTTTACTTGTGCTTCTTGTTGGTGTTTTCTTTCTCTCCTAGATGAGGTTTCAGAGAAAGTTACGTTATATCAGCTTCTTCTAAAAGTTCTTTTAACTAGAATAAGCATTTTATAAAATTAATCAAACGAGTCAAAAAGCCCTCAAAACGTTTGCCAGACTAGTCCTTATTATTTATATTAGTCGATATATGCAATAGCGTTCATTCTACTGTTTCTTTGTTTGAACAATTGTCACCAACTTGATTTGGCTCTGATGCAACTATAATTAGAAACAATTGTGTCGTAATTTTCTTTGAAAGGGCTTGGTATACGGAGGAACTTTTTGTTATGTGATTATTCTTGAATATATATAATTTGGTATCCATGGGAGTTCCAATCAGTCTCGTTGGAAAATCAATTGGTGTTCAAGGAGGATAGGTTAAATCTTTTATGTGTAAAAATTTCACTATAATAAATAGGATTCAAATGTATCCGATGCTTTGGGCAACATAGAATCAAAAACAAAAATCAAAAGCAATATGGTAAATTTCATTCTTTTCTCGTCCTTCTGAATTGCAGATGAATGGAATTGAATACGTGGGTCTTGGTTTTCCGCCACTTCTATAAATATATATATACTCTATATTTTCCACAAATCGAAGTAAGAACCACATCTTCTCTCTCTCTCTCTCTCTCTCTCTCTCTTTTGATGAATGGAGAACCCGCAGCTGCTGCCCTTCGAGTACGCATTGATTAAACCATCGGGTTGACGCAATAGCCTGCAAATCACGTCAATCAGGTAAATCGCACTATACAAGTTCCGTGCGACAGACTCGATCAAAAAAGTGTTGGTAGGAAAAATTGAATTCGTAGTCAAAGGCCTCCGTATTCACTTATTCCACCAACTCGATCATCCCATGAGGGGCAAGAACCACATTTTTATTTTCATGATAAGAAGGCTTTACATATTAGCCCTTGTTTGGAGGGAATTAAAATTAGATGTCTAGTAGACTTTGATAAAAAGTAATAAAATTTGTGATTGAAAAGTTATTGATTTCATGAAATATGTAGTTAAAATTAATTGTTGAACTTTGATTATGTTTGTGATTATAAGTTGTCTATTTTAATAATAAGTCATCCTGAATTGATTTGGGCTTTTGAACTAGAGGCATGTGTTGGTTGACAAATAGATGGGCTAGGCCATAATTTTTAGGGAAAGAAATCACAATTCAGATATTAAGTGTAAGCTGTGCAAATTTAAGGGAATAAGTTTAACTTTCCAGAAATC